TAAGCCCCTACCACCATCCTGCCTCTTCCTGCCCCCACTCCACCCCTTCCCCTAAGCCCCCACCACCATCCTGCCTCTTCCCGCCCCCACTCCACCCCTTTCCCTAAGCCCCCACCACCATCCTGCCTCTTCCCGCCCCCACTCCACCACCAGTCCCGCTCCGCCCCTTCCCCCAAGCTCCCACCTCCACCCCGCCTTTTCCCGCCCCGTCTCACCTCGTCCCCACCTCTTTCCGCCCCCTCCGCCGAGCACACCCCATCCCCGCTCCTCCCCCCATGACTCCTGCAAGCCACAAACTAGCTGTTCCGCAGCACTCAGGAGGCGCTGGGAGGGAGGGGGAGGAGTTGATCGGCAGGGACCGCCAGCGCACGGGAGTGGGGGGGAGGGAGGGGAGCTTGGCTGATGTTGGGTGCTAAGCACCCGCTAATATTTCTCCATGGGTGCTCCAGCTGGAGCCAACCACGCCACCGTGCAGCACGGAGCACCGGGTCAGGCCGGGCTGCGCTGCCCAGACACCCAGAGCATTGCGCCGGCAACGCAGCGAGCTGAGGCTTCGGGGGAGGGGGAACAACAGAGGAGGGGCCAGGGGCTAGCCTCCCAGGCCAGGCGCTCGGGGGCTGGGCAGGAGGGTCCCGAGGGACGGATGTGGGTCTATAGGCTATATCTACGGAACGGGGTTAATCGGCATAGCTACAGCACCATACCTATAGTCGCCAGAGTGTAGACATGACGTAAACTTCCTTTCCAGGCCATGTAGAATTTAAGCTGACTTGTGAAATGGGGAATAAAAGATATGTTTTTAACTGTACAGAAGGCCTGAAAGGCATCTTTTGTTGCTTTTAAAACAAAAATGTCTCCTGCTTCTGTCTTACACTGGTCTTACCTATCCTGTCCTGTAGATGACTGGAGTACTAGTAAGATCATGATGTAACGATTGGATCCTGAGCAATTGGACAGAGAAGAAATTCTTATTCAGATGGGTTTTTAAACTCTTTGGTTTATTTAACTCCAACACACAACTAACCGTTAGGAGGAAAATCTTTG